CATGAAAAATAGATAATTTTAAGCTGTAACATATGAAATTCATTTTTCTTAGTATTTAAAACATAATATTCAGGTACTACTCAGACACATTATAAAATCCTTGCCCTGAAATTTGCTTAAAAGTTATAGTAAATGAAATTAAGGATAAGCTCATCCTTTTGTCCACCATACAAAATGGGATGACTAGACTTGACCAACAATACTCCATCAGAAAATGGTTTCTTCTTCTCCAAAGACAAGCCTGGTGCTGAGAGGACTGTCCACTATATCCTGAAGCTGGTGAAGGGCAGGAAGGGGCCTGTATCTCCCATGTGTTTCTTATTAGAAATCCGTTAGGGCTGAGTAGCTCCCGCTATAAAATACAACTGCTCCACACACACACCAGATGGTTGACCCCACTGATCATTCAAACCTGCGACTTATTTATGATGTCCTAATACCCAAAGTCTATGAAAATAGGTATGTTCTTGAAAAAAGCAACTTTGGAGTTGGTGGTTTTTGACAATTACATACAGTTGACCCTTGAACAATGCAAGGTTTGGCGGTGCTGACCCACATGCACTCAAAAATCCGCATATAATTCTTGACTCGCCTAAAACTTAATAGCCTACTGTTGACCAGAAGTCTTACCAATAACATGAGTAGCCAATTAACTACTTAATTACTCTCGTGGACTAGGGAACCTATGATAAGATCCCATCCTGTTTTTCATACCTCAAGGTGCTATTCATTAGTAAATGGTGATGCTTCCCGTGTGCAATGGCAGAGAGAGATTTGGGGGTATTTGGTATTCCTGTCATAGAAATTCCAAAATTGATCATTCTTAAATGTATTAGAATTTGAGCTTAATACAGCCTAATCCTACCCATTACTAACTCTCCACACCAGTAGCCTTTCCTTTATGGTAAAACATTATCCAGCCAGTCACGAGGTACAGTAAGCAGATCCTGCCTTGGGAATACACAAAAATGCTTCTATCTTCTGCTTTCACTGAACATCTCAAGTAGAAGCTTACTACATGCTAAGCAAGCATGCCGGGAAGTCTGTCCTTGGCGGAGATCAACGCTGAGAGGTAATCGGTGATGCTTTTAAAAACACTGAATCTATCTGAGTCAGTAACAGCACAAGTGAAGGGCTAAGACATCTGCCCATGCCCCCTTCCCTGTGCACCCTTAATTTCTGACACCCTCCACCCTAGTTCCAGGCACTGTGTTGTGAGCTACCCACACTGGGGCACTACGCTCAGCCGGCTTTGCTTAGACAACGTCCACTGACCCAGACTTGTCTGGCCTCAAAGAACTCACCTGATCCCACTCCCCCCTTCTTTGGGATTTTGCTCCTCTCTAGATCACAGCTAACTGGGTAATTACTTTATAGTCACATGAGTAAACTCAGGATTCCACAAGAAAAATGGCCAGATTTTAAAATTCCAATAGAAGGATCACTAGGTGACATTGCAGACAATAAACAACATGTTCTAAACAGATGATGCCCTTTTGTGCACGTATTTTACATCATAATGGTAGCATCCTGGTCAATCCATGCACAGGTCAGTGCTTACACCCTGCGGCTGAGCAAGATGGAACCTCGGGTCAAGACACCCAACGTGGAGAAGTAGGCCAACATTAGCGTAAGATTTTTTTTTTTTTTTATAGAAGAGTTCTGATACTTTTCACAAAAAATGGAGGGGATACTCCTGCAGGTGATGAAACCTCACTATTAAGTAGCAGTATACTAAAGAGTACAAAGCAATAAGCAAAACTAAAGGTCATGAGACCAGTTAACAAATTCACTCAACAACTATGTGTCAGGCACTCCTCAGGATACTGACAGTAAACAAGACAGATGTTCTGAACACCCTTTCCCCCCTGTCTAGATCTAGTCTGAGTTACAGCATCAGCTCCCCTGCTTCTCAGGCCTTCAGATTTGGTCTCAATAATACCACGGGCCTTCTTTGTTCTCTAGCTTGCAGATGACATCCAGTGGCACAGCTCAGCCTCCATAATCCCAGAGATCTCCTCAAATATACAGCAAAGTTCTGTTTCTCTGGAAAACCCGAAACACACATTATTATAAATTTGTCAAAACCCATAGAATGTACAACATCATCAAGAGTGAAATCTAAACTCTGGACTCTGGGTGATGACGAGTCCATGCAGGTTCATGAACTGTAACAAACGTACCACTCCGGTGAGGAATGTTGGTAACAGGGGAGGCTGTGCCTGTATAGGGGGCAGGGAGCATCGGGAAGTCCCTATACCTTTTGCTCAATTTTGCAGTGAACCTCAAATTGCTCTAAAAAAATAAAATCTATTTTTAAAAGCTACTAACGAAGGCACTCTGGGGTTTAAAAACTGAGGGGTCTTGGATGACTGGGTCGCTCAGGGTGTGGTCCCAGGGTCAAGGGATCTAGGCCTGCATTGAGCTCCCTCCAGGGAACCTGCTTCTCCCTCCACCTAGGTCTCTGCCTCTCTCATGAAGAAATAAAATCTTAAAAAGAAAACTGAGTAGTCTTGCAAACATTCCTGTGTATGATCTAATAATGCCCAGTGACCTCACCCCACCCCACCCTTTCCTGAAAGAGCCAGGCCCTGGCCAGGGAGCAATGGACACGGTCTCCCCCACCACCTCCTTCCACAGCACCTCTCCCCACGGATGGTAACTGATAGAGCTCTTCCTCTATTATCGGGACCGATTTCCTGGCTCTTTCAGCATTCACAGCTAACTAACTCCACACCAGAGATTATTTCCCACTGTTACACATGTCTCCTAACACCTTTCCTTCTCCCACTCAGTTTACTAAGCAAAGTATGTCTCTTCTATAAACAGAAGTTTTTAAGAAGCAGCGAGGACTCTGTACTTCAATTTTAAGGGCCTGAAGCTGTTTGCACACTAGTGTTAAGAAAAAAAGTAACAACAACAAAAAAAAGTAACACACCTAGATGAAAGAAAAATAATTGACTTTGGAGCAAAATTTAAAAAAAAAAAACTTTCAGCTTTTATAGTCTTTAAATTCTACTTCCAGGAACACAGGTAAGCCTACCTTTCCTCTATCACCACTCCATTTAAGACATTTTCCTTTCTGATGTCATGATTTACCTTTTCGTGCACTGGCCCTGCAACACCACCTTGTATGACCTCTCACTGAGCAAGATCTCACTTCAATTCCGTAGAATTTCGCCTTCATTGTCAGGTTAAGTGGACTCTTAGGCTAAGCTGAGCTCTGGGGAACTTACACACCTTGACATCCTCCCAAACTCAAATGGACTTAAAACCAGAATTCTACGTCCACATCCCTCGCTCTTGATAGGGATTGCATTAAACGTGTAAATTGCCCTGGGTAACATTGACATTTTCACAATATTAATTCTGCCAATCCATGAGCATGGAATATTTTTCCATCTCTTTGTGCCTTCCTCAATTTCTTTCAGAAGTGTTCTATAGTTTTTAGGGTATAGATCCTTCACCTCTTTGGTTAGGTTTATTCCTAGGTATCTTAGGCTTTTGGGTGCAATTGTAAATGGGATTGACTCCTTAATTTCTCTTTCTTCAGTCTCATTGTTAGTGTATAGAAATGCCCCTGACTTCTGGGCATTGATTTTGTATCCTGCCACGCTACCAAATTGCTGTATGAGTTCTAGCAATCATGGGGTGGAGGCTTTTGGGTTTTCTGTGTAGAGTATCATGTCATCGGCGAAGAGGGAGAGCTTGACTTCTTCTTTGCCAATTCGAATGCCTTCAATGCAGAGAAAGCATTTGACAAAATACAGCATCCATTCCTGATCAAAACTCTTGAGAGTGTAGGACTAGAAGGAACATTCCTCAGCATCTTAAAAGCCAACGAAAAGCCCACAGCAAATGTCATTCTCAATGGGGAAGCACTGGGAGCCTTTCCCCTAAGATCAGGAACAAGACAGGGATGTCCCCCCCCCCCCCACTGCTATTCAACCTAGTACTGGACGTCCCAGCCTCAGCAGTCAGATATCCCTCGCTCTTAACGTAGGGCTTCAATAAAACAGCCCACCTGGGTCTTCAAAACACCCGAAAACATTTTAAATTAAGCTGCTTGTGAGCAAGGGCCGTGGACCCGGCACAGAATGCACCAGGCGGGGCGCGGGCGGGGGGGGGGGGTCGGCTGCGCTTTGCAAAGAAACTTTAAAGCAGAAACAGGTTTCTGCGATGCCGGGAGCGCGGCGTGTCTGGGGCCCAACCCGGAGGCCCCTGTTTGTTTTAATTTTCTTAAGCGGGTTTTCAGCCGGGACCAGCGGCGCCCCCGCCCCGAGGGTTTTTCCGGAAACCGTCTCGACGACTCCAAATAGTCGTGTGTAAATGCGGTGCCGCGACCTCCCTAACCACGCCCGCCCCTGGACTCCGGTAACCGGACAGACCGCAGCTCCGGGACCGCGCCGGGGGCGGGAGGGCGGGGGGGGGGACGGGGGCTGGGTCCGACCCGGGGGCGCCCTCGGCGGGGGGGGGGGGCAGGCCCGAACTGCGCGAGTTTGGAAGAGCCTCCCCCCCCCCCCCCGACCCCGGGGCCCAGGTCTTTATTTTCTGGGTCGCAACACCGCAGCTGAGTGAGACTTCGCCGCAGGGAACGGCCGGGACGGGGGGGGGGGGGGGGGGGGGAAGGGGGTACGGAGCTCTGGGCCCGAGCCGGAGGGGGCGCTGGGGGGGGGGGAGCGCGGGGCGGGTGCGGGAGGAGCCTGGGGGGCCGGCGCAGGGTGCGGGGGGAGCGCGGGGGAGGAGCCGGGGCGCAGGGTGCGGGGAGGAGTGTGGGGAGGAGCCTGGGGAGCGCGGGGGGGGGGAGGCGGGAGGTGCCGGGGAGCGCGGGGTGCGGGGAGGTGCCCGGGGAGCGCGGGGAAACGGAGGGAACGCGGGAGGGGGGCGGGGAGTCGGGGCGCAGGGGGCGGAGAGGAGTGGGGGAGGAGCCTGGGGAGCACGGGGTGCGGGAGGGAGCCGGGGCGCAGGGAGGGGGAGCCCGGGGAGCCGGGAGCACTGACCCGCGGGGCGCTCGGGGACGATGGGCCGCCACCTCAGGGCGCGCTCGCTCAGCACCACGTCGCAGCTGCTCCGCCGGATCTCGAAGATGCCCCGAAGCAGGGTCTGCGCGGCCGCCGCGGGGGGCTGTAGCTGGGACGCCCCCGCCGCCGGGGCCGGGGCCGGGGCCGCTGCTTCCTCCGGGCCGCCCTCCAGGGCGCTCACCCGGCCGCCGCGCCTCCCCCGGGGCATGGCCGACGCGCAGGCGGGGCGGGAGCCGGGGGTCTGCGGAGGCCTCGCGGCGGAGGTGGAGGCCGCGCTCCCGCGGCCCGGGCGGCGTCGGCGCTGCCACGGCAACGGCGCGGGGCGGGCCCGGGGGAGGAGGCGGGGCGCGCACCTGGGCCTGCGGGCGGCCGCGCCCCGCCCCCCCGCGCCCCGCCCCGCCCCCCAGGGCCCCCCAAGTCCGCCCCCCAGGCTTCTCCTTGCCCCCCGCGGGGCGCCCGGGCCTGGCGGGCCGTCTCCCCCGTTTGCCGAGCTGCCGCCCCGGGGGAGCGGGGGAGCGCGTCCTTGGAGCCCGGGGGGAGGGGGAGGGGGGCGGGGTTAAGTGTGGTTTACGTGGGTCGGGCCTCACCTGGCCTCACCTGAGCGCGGGACTAGAAGGCGGCCCTTTACCATGAGCCCCAGCGGATGGTGCTGTTGACTCCCCACGTTGCACACCTGAAGCTAATGCACCAGGTATGTTGACGATACCGGAACGGGGAAAAATAGAACAACAACAAAAAAGGTGCCTTTGACGTTCAGTGTCCCCCAAGATCTCTCCTCGGCAGCCTTGCCTTTCCCTGGACGGTGACAGCAGGCAGCCGGGCCTGGCCCCCGAAGGCTGCCGCCCTAATGTGGTGTTACCTGGCGATGGAGAGGGCCCCGGGGGCTCGTCCTTCCCTCTCCTGATCACCGAGCCCGGGAATTAGCTGACTGTTCACTTGAAGCGCACCGAGTCTGGAGGCCAGCGGTTCTCCATCCTGCCTGCACGTTAGCGTTACCCCGGGAGTCCAAAAAAAAAAAAAAAAAAAAGTCCAGATGCCCAGACTACACTTGAAGACCATGAAGTTGGAATCTCCGGGGATGGGACCCAGGCTTCAGGGGTTTGTGAAGCTCCCCAGATACTCCAGTGTTCAGCCAGGCCGGAGAACCGCTGCTCTGAGCGGGGGACTGACAGGTTGCTGACAAACTGGGACAATGAAACGAGGAGAAACTGAGTTCCCTGGAAGAGGAGCTTGGGGTGGGGGTGGGGGGGTAATAGCAGCAGCCTTTATATAAGGTCAGAATCATGGTATTGGGGGAAAGTTAGGGGGAAGGGAGTGAAAGAGCAAATTCCATTTGTAGAGCTGTGAACGTAGCTCCAGGGTGCCCGGGCTAACCAGTGACTGCAGACCCGCAGGCCCTCCCCCTGTCCCAGCCTGGCCACGCTGCAAAGCCGGGAGGAGAGCTGGCTCTGCTCAAACTTGGATTTCAAACAACCAGGGAGGGAGACCGGTGGCCTAGCCAAATCCCTCCCAGACGTAAGGCCCCTGTGTGCGTGCTAAGCTGGGACTCTTACTGTGGAATGCTCCGGAAACAAATAGTCAAGCTTCTAAGCTAAAGCAAGGCAGAGCCCCCGTTTGATCTGTTTCTGGGAGCAGGGGTGCTGCTAAGCCCCTTGCAGGCTCAGGCTCAGGCCCAGCTCCGGGGGAGGGAGGTGGTGCCCTTGCAGAATGAGGGGTGCCTCTGGGGTCAGCGTCCTGTATTCACGGCTGTGGGACCCTCCACACCCAGCTCCCTGAGAGCCGGGCCAATGGGCCAAGGCAGTGGCCACTTCCTAGGACCTTTGCAAGCACCGAGTTGCCATTTGTGAAGCTTCAACAGGCCCATCAACAGCATGGCCTGTGGTGTTGCCTGAGGTGGCAGATGGTGGCTGCACTCCACCCTTTGCTCCTGATGGGCTGTCCATTCCCAGGGCCCTCAAGACTGCGCAGCCCAGGGGCTCCGTCTACACAAGCATCCACAACGCGGCCTGGCCTGCCGTACTGTTGTCACCAGGTCCAACCACTCCCCAAACTTCAGGCTCTACGTCCAGCTGCCCACCTGACGTGACCGCTTGGCTGTCCAGTAACCATCTGACACGTAGTATATCTGAAACCAAACTCAGGATTTCCCGTCATAAACCTATTCCTCCCAGAATGTTCCAAATCTCAGCAGAGGGTGTCCTCAAAATCCTTGATGTCGTTTTCATTTCTTCCTATCGTCTTTGGACTCCCCTCCAATCCACTGGCAAGTCCTGTCAGTGGCATCTGCCAAGGGGTTTCCCTTCAGCCTCGTGTCTTCCCAGCCTGTGCCTCTGCACCTCTCACCGGACCACTTCTGTAGCCTCCCAGCCCATCCTGTACCGCCTCCTCTGGCCCAGCGTCAGCTTTCCACCTGGCAATCATGCTGCTCCTTTCAAAAGGTACAAGATCACATCACTCCCCGCTCACATCTTCCCTGGAGTCTCCCGTCATTTCTTGGAACAAACTCAGCGTGCTTGGCAAGTGCACAAGGCCCGATATAATCTGGGCTCTGGCTAAGAGAACGTTGCTGCCCATCCTCTGTCACTCACCTTCCTGTAACCATGGGTATTGGGGTTTGGGGGTGTTTTTTCTAAATTGCTACTATAACCAACTGCCATAAACTTGGTGGCTTAAAACAACACAGATGTGTTATCTGACATTCCTGGAGGTCCGAAACCCAAACTCGGTTTCACTGTACTAGTATCAAGTCGTCAATGGCCCTGTGTTCATCCTGGAGGCTCCAGGGAAGAATTCATCTCCTTGCCTTTTCCAGCTTCTAAAGTTGCCTGTATTTGTTGGCTTACGCCCCCTTCTTCCATCTCAAAGCCAACAGCAAAGCATCTTGTCTCTGCTTCCATCCTTCCATCTTACTGTCTCTGACTTTGCCCTCCTTCCCTCCCTGTCATAAGGACCCTTGTGATTACATCAGATCCATCTGGATAATCATTAACTGTGTCTGCAGAGTCCCTTTTGCTATGTAAGGGAAAACAGATTCATGAGTTCCTTCTGGGGATTAAGACATAGGCATCTTCAGGCCACCGCTATTCATCTCTCTACCATCCACTGCTTTATTTTTCTTCACACCCCTTATTATTACCTCTTACTTTATGTTTACTTCTGTGTTTATTGTCAAGATTCCCCACTAAATGAGTTCATGCACTTAGTAACAGTGCTGGAATGTAAGAAACAATAAAGGTTAAGTGTTATTAGAATAAAAAAGCTCCTTGATGTCAAAGAATTGGTCTTGTTCTCCATTCAAGTCTCAGTAACTGGCAGGGTGCCTAGCACATGGTATGTGCTCAAGAAACATGGGTAACAACACTAAGGCACCTCAATAGTTTTCCCCCCACTTCCTAAGGCTCCGTTGTCCCTTCCTAAGGCTTCCTAAGTGATGCATAGATATGATGCACTAATGCATGAAAATTGCTCTCTGAAAATTTTTAGGTAGCTTCCTGAACATGGCTTTCCCTGCTGTGGCTGAAGCTTGGGCATTTGTTTTCAGAGCACTAAGTGGTAAGAGTCCTAACTTAACAGGCACATAGTTGCTTTATGTTTGAAAGGCATTTGGCTAGGTCTGGAAACAGATAGACAGGGATGAAGTCTATCTATCTATTTATTCATTCATTCATTTAAGAAATTCACGTCTGAGCAGAAGATTTGGAAAAACTCTCTGCTAAGAACGTTGTTTTCAGGAGGTCATTAAGTATCTAGGCAAATCTGAGAGAGGTAGGCCTAATGGGACAGTGTCCTGAAGTCAGGGACCCCTTCTCAGTTCCACAGATGAAGGCAGGTGAAATCACAGTCAACTGAGACACCCGGACCAACTGCATCAAGGGCAGGGGACAAAGAATTCCAATGCCTGAGCCAGTGGACAATCCTAGATCAAGCCCCTTGATCTCCCACAGGCTCTGCTGCCTTCAAAGTTTGGAGTTTGTGTGAATAAATGAGTGCCTGTATTATCAAATTACCATCAATATAGCCTTTTTCAGGCTCCAGTTTACTTTAAAGAATATGTTCAGTGCAAGTAGAGTAAAATCCAAGCTCCCACCATGATCTACGAGAGGCCTTGTGACCTGGCTCCTGCCCCCCACACTCAAACCCCGTCTCCTGTCATTTTTCTTCTCTGCTTTCTGTGCCTATGTCTGACCGCACTGGCCTTCTTTCCATTTTTCAAATAAACCATGGTTATTCCTCATGCAGGGCCTCTTCTGTTGTTATTTGCTCTGTGTGGAGCAATACTATAGCCAGCTTTGCAGAGTGCCCGGATCAGCTTCATGTTACCAACTCAGAGGTTCTTCTCTGACCAATCAAAAGTTCACCCATTATTAAATTCAACAGCAAAGAAATAAACAATCCAATCATGAAATGGGAAAAAGTCATGAAGAGAAATCTCACAGAGGAAGACATAGACATGGCCAATGAGCACATGAGAACATGCTCCGCATCACTGGCCATCAGGGAAATACAAATCAAAACCACAATGAGATCCCACCTCACACCAGTGAGAATGGGGAAAATTAACAAGGAAGGAAACCACAAATGTTGGAGAGGATGGGGAGAAAGGGGGACCCTCCTGCACTGTTGGTGGGAATGTGAACTGGTGCAGCCACTCTGGAAAACTGTGTGGAGGTTCCTCAAAGAGTTAAAAATAGACCTGCCCTATGACCCAGCAATTGCACTGTTAGGGATTTACCCCAAAGATTCAGATGCAATGAAACGCCGGGACACCTGCACCCCGATGTTTCTAGCAGCCATGTCCACAATAGCCAAACTGTGGAAGGAGCCTCGGTGTCCATCGACAGATGATGGATAATGGAATACACACCATTTGCTTCGACGTGGATGGAACTGGAGGGTATTATGCTCAGTGAAATAAGTCAATCAGAGAAGGACAAACATTATATGGTCTCATTCATTTGGGGAATATAAGAAAAAGTGAAAGGGAATAAAGGGGAAAGGAGAAAAAATGAGTGGGAAATATCAGAAAGGGAGACAGAACATGAGAGACTCCTAACTCTGGGAAACAAACTAGGGGTGGTGGAAGGGGAGGTGGGTGTGGGGGGGGGTGACTGGGTGACGGGCACTGAGGGGGCCTCTTGATGGGATGAGCACTGGGTGTTATTCTATATGTTGGCAAGTTGAACACCAATAAAAAATTTATAAAAACAA